GTAATGTATAGGCCAACCTATAGAGGACTCCCAAGTCGTATGAGTAGTACTAGCGTAAAATGGGAAATAACTCAGAAACATTATTCCATCAATATTCATAAAACATATCAATGAAATCTGGACTGAACAACTTAATAAGGTGAGGATAAGAGAAATTTCTATCATATGGACCGGAGATGTGGATAAATAGACCGCAGATATTCACACTTTCTTTACTTGAGCTGGTATACTTCCTGTAACTCTCCTAATAAAACGCTCATTAATATGTCACAAATTACTTTTTTCATCATAAAATTAACCATTTTTACCTGAAGTTTCCCAATCCTTCGCTCTATTAAATTAGACACTAATAAAAATAGTGATTAATCAACTACGAAATACACATGAAATTCTGTACCGGTTTCAGGCGATTGGTCGATATGCGCCCACTCTGTTCCGGTAGAACTGAGGCCGATTTCTTGGAATTCGATGACAAATGGCCGAGATCAGAAGCTTCAGGACTGAGTTGTCTTGTCGGCCTATGCAGCAGCCGACGTAGTTCATTAACACACGCCTGCATACCTTTCATACAAAAGTGGTGTGATGTTGTCGTGTTTTAAAGGGTAGGGTGAACCGGTAGAAAATGGTGAAGTAGTATGAAACGGGGTGAGATAATTTGCAGGTTTTATTTCTGTAAACAGAATAAATTACGAAGGTCATTATTTGTTTGAGCCTTATCTTCCCCATTTGTGAGGGTCATTTTCTGAAACTAGTAAGGCTCTACCTTCAAATATTTACAGATTGCCACATTCTCTAAATACATTCAGATACAAACTCAAATATTCAATTTTGTGTTGATAAATTACGTTGCGAAGGCGATAAAATGAGGCGATTTTGCAAACATTGCAAACATTACCAGTTTCAAGCTATCCATGATGATAAATTTCATTTCTATAAGATTTTTTCAGTAAATTTGGTCAAACCATCAGACTCGTTGACTGAGAAAAGTATGGCCAATTCAGGGAGTTTTCCAATAGCCAATTTGACATGTACAATATTCCGAGAAATTACATACTCACATAATATTGAGAGGTTTGAAGCGACCAGTAATCTGATGGTGCAAATGTAAGATAAAGTGGCGGTGGCGTAAAATTTGCCAGTCTAACCCTCTGGATTTCAATCTTGCATCTTGCAAAACGTAGTATGACGTCATCTCACCACAGAATGACATTTTTATATTATTGTGAAATATGATTTTCCTATCAATCAATGTGTATACTCAAAACTTTGAATAATTATCAAATAGGAATCGTTTCATAAATTCACAAAACAGACTGTATGTAGTTTCAATTTATAACTTTAATGCTTTCTGACATTTTGCCTGAAAAAATGTTGTCCCCAAGTTTTATCGACTGTCGAGTTAGGCTGATTGGGCAAAATGTCACACGAGCCCGCTAAATCGTGAGCTATGATTCCGTCAGTAGGAAGTGAGGCAACGAAGAAAATGAGTGTTTCAAACAACTTTCTAAAATAAGATGGTTGTGAAGATTTACATTTCGTATGAAAGTACATGATGAAAAGATTCTTTGGTAGCTTTTTGAGGCAATTAATCTGCAGTCCACCATGGATGAGAATACCTCTTGCTAAGTATGTTAAACTCAATGAAAACGTCAGCTCTACTCATATAATTGTGGGAAAATTCAATTACCAGTCCTTCGTCATCCTAAATGAAAAAGGAGTGAATATATCTTATACTACTTATTTTTCATTTATAAGTAGCTTTTTGAGGCTATTACGCTGCAATCCACTATGAATGAGAATAACTTTTGCGAAGTATGTGAAATTGAATGGAGACTTTAGCTTTACTCATATCATTGTGGGAAAATTCTTCTACCAGTCCTTCATTACCTTAAACGAAATTGGTGAATACAATTCATATTAAATTCATATTTTTGTGAATCAATCGTCGTGGTGAGATCGAATTTTTACTTTCTTCACTAATCACTTTCATACGAAATGAAGTCTTCACAGCATCAAACCCGCATCTTCTTCCTATATCAAATTCGCACTCGTATAAAGTCACCGTGGTAAAGAATGATAATCGCTATTTTGCAAGTATACAATCAAATAGTGCTTAAAAAAGCTGTAGAAGCAAATTACTCTTTGGGAGAGTGTTTTTCTCAACCGTCCACTCCGTCTCGTAGAGAAGCGGTGGCCGATCCAGTGAGACGCTCAAGACTTCCGCATCGCTGCCGCTGTAACCGGGTGACTCCTGAAGATGCGAAGTATTGTTAATCAAATTATCTGGACGGCCCATCTCCTCGATACTGCATTGGCTCTGAGATCGTTGCCCAAAAGGTGAGGGCATTTCATCATTCTGCAAAAAAGTAGGGGATCAAAGCTAATGTAAACTAATGCATCAGTAGCATCTTTATTTTAAACCTATTTGTCCATCATGATCCTTTTTCTTGCATTTGCATCATAATCTCGTATTCCCATAAGATTACTAAATTTACTTTTATTTATGATATCAGTTCAGATCAATCATTTGGCTCCTGTGACTATCCTTTTTTTTAAAATTACATTCTTTTAGAAGTCGATTTTTTACTCAATCCTCTATTCTTGCTCATTAACTCCTCTTCTTC